TCTTTTAAGCTCGAAACTGCTGCGATAGGACCCCATGAACTAGTACATTTACTTAGTTGTTTGGTTGGGTAGTCAGATTAAGACCAACTATTCAATGGCTAACAGAATAACAACAAATAAACAAAAAATCGGATATGAACACCACATGACTTCCTCGTACAACGTATTAAATTATACACATATTTTGCTGCTGTAATTCTTTTAAACTAATTTCCTCGAGTTATTCTAATTAACCGATTCTAGTTCAAAATGACATCAAAAACTGCAACAGCAAAATTTGAAATTAAATATACGTTCAGATTTTGTCGTATAGGAATCAAACATTTTATAATTTTATTTTTTCATAACAAACATTAAAACTTTCCCAAATGTAAGCATAGGAACCGGAAAACCACAATAAAAAATAGATTTCATTATCTGTCTAATTTTTGTTTTCAATTTGGCGTAGCCAAAACATGAGTATTTTCGTCGTTTAAAATTATTTCTGTAGTTAGAACTACGACCAACGACTTCCGGGTAAGGACTTTTAAGCATGGTAAGGGAATGGCTATTATATATGATCTTAAATTCGCTTAGTTCGAAAACAAGCTTTTCTAATACTTGCGCAATAGCTTCAAAGTAAGATAATAATAATTTATTTACTACAGAAATATTGATTATATTATCTCCTAATATAAATTTAGTAGAAGTATCAAAAAAGAGTGAACCCATATGTAGGAAGTTTAATTCTGAAAATTATGTTTTAAAGTAACTTGAATGTAAATTATTATTAAAAAGGTTTTACGGTGACTTGAATTAAATCATGAATAACAAAATTTCAAACTTTAAAAAATAAATTAAATTAAAAGCAAGTAATTTTCGCTATTGATCGGGAATTAGTTGACTTTTCAAGGGAAACAAACCAACTCCCATTTAATGAACAATAATTAATATTGTTCATAATTCCTATTCTATTTCATAATTCCAATTAAGATTACCACTGCTTAATTTTTATACAAATAGGTTTTAATTAACATGCATAAAAGCGAAGGTGTCGGGGGACATTTACTCAAGTATTTTACTACATAAATTGCTTTTCACTCAAAACTTGAATTAGCGAAAATGCTTAATTCAGAATGAGTTCTTTGGTACTCTACTTTGGTTCTTAATCCCATCACTTCACGGAACTATTTGGCCTAACTTAATTTGCCAGTTTGGCATAACCATTCTTACTTGAGTAAAAGACGAAACACGTTTGTATTTATTAATTATTGTTCATTGAACGGGAGTTAGTTTGTTGCCCTTGAAAAGTCAACTAATTTCCGATCAATAGCGGTAATTACTTGCTTTTAATTTAATTTCTTTTTCAAAGTTTGAAATTTTGTTATTCATGATTTAATATAAGTCCCCGAAAAACATTTTTAGGAATTAAACTTCCTAAATATGGGTTCACTTTTTTTATATACTTCTACTATATTTATATTAGGAAATAATATAATCAATATTTCTTCTTGCAAATTTCATCATGTTTTACCGATCCTTGCTTATTAATACTGGCTCAGCGGCAATCTACTTAAATGGAGGTATGCCTTCGTGGAAGACTTTTCAGCGGAAACGTGACTGTATTCCCCAGTTTGGAACGAATCTACGTATTGGAAAATACATAGGCAAATCTACGCATATTCCGAGTGCATCCAGCCAATTCGCCGACATTTGAATCCGGGTCCATTTAGCAGCCTTGGTTTCGGCCTGGGCTTAGCCGAGGGTTAATAGTTTGCATTACAGTGTCTATTTATAATTCAGTTCATAAACACGAAACCTTGTTGTAAAGCCGTAGAGAAGATAGCTGTGTACAGAAGACATGCTCGGCGTATTAAAACTTTTGTTTAAAAGTGGAGTTTAACTTAAATGCATTTATTGTGTTTTCTCATACTTTTCCTTCATGTACAAATATTTTAACAAGGTTCAGGTAAAAAGTTACGCCCCATCCAAGTTTTAAAGTCATCAAAACTTTCTCGTTATCTAATTTCGTAAGCAAAATGAACAGACTAATATATGTAGATTTTGCTCCAATTTGTTATCGAGTCTGCAAATTCTGGCTACGCAAAGCTCTTTCATTGAGTCGCTAATTCTGTTAATTTTCATCCTCCTTTTCTTCTTTTTAGTGAACTGGATACTTTACATGAGTCTTTTTATAACTCGAAAATATATTCTTAATATGCTAATGAGTCTCTAATTATCATAGCTCTTTGTTTATGTAACTGTCATTTGATATTTTTCTCAATTTAAAAAACTACAAGTCTTTTCCCAAAATTTGCTTGAATTTGACTTACTTATTTAGCTTAATTTTCTTTCTTAACACGTTGACTTCAAAGGTTCATACCTATGTTCTGACCTCAGATGCCCAACACGAGTTATCTCGTACCACTCTTCCACGTACGGCTAATGAATGCGCATTGTTTTTGTGCACTCGGAGCTGTCGGATATTGTTGCACGTGACAAAAAGAATTATTTCGTTTCAAATAATTCTCAAGTGCATCATTACAATAATTATGCTGCGTAACAAAATAACTGAAAAAAATTAGAGTAACACGCAAATATAAATGATTCAGAATGGCAAGCTTTATTAGTGAGCATTCAGATACTGATGTAAATTATATTCACTTTTCAATTTATTTCTACGGTAGATTTTTGTGAAAAAAAAAGTTGATTTTGTGTTAGTATAAGATAAAATAAATTTAGTTTTACTTTTTCTTATTTCTTTTTGTCAAACATAGTCTGTAACCTCGTCTTACCTCGAACGCTCACTACGTATAATAACATGCATTTGTTATGAGAACATTTGTAGTTAGCAATAAATGGCGGATAAATACAAGTAAACTCGTAGCGGACGTCTAGGGTCAGAATGCTGCCATGAGTTATCTCGGTTAATTTAATCCTTGCTTAACACAGAAAATTATTCTGTAGAGAATGAAATTGTTAAGTTTGAAATTTTATCCTATTCTTATATAAACGTAGCTGGTTTTGGCAAACATAATTGTAATTAAAATTTTACAAGATGTAATTCCTTAAATAAAAGGATCCCCAGCGTTTTTGTACTGACTGAGTTACCACGTATTGCAGTTTTATTCAAATGCAAATTTTTTTAATATTAGACAACTTAAATCCTGCGCATTACAAATCAAGTTACACAAGCCAACTTTCAATTGTTCTTAATTTTTCTTTGTCCCTTATAGCAAGTGTTTATAGCACTTTTTTTATATTTAATTGCCTAAATTGAAATGCTAATGAGAGATTTAGATTTATGATAGTAAATTGTATCATCCTTTTACAACAGGCTGGGATATGCACTTGAAGAAAAATATGTTCATATATATCATTGTAAAACCTTTTGCTAGGATTTCAGTTATCCAAATCCTGCCTGCGTTGTGCTAATCATGTATTTATGAAATGTTCTAATGTACTAAAAAAACATTCTTTTATTACGAATATTATTTGTTAGTAGAAATTTCTAATCTGTTTTCAATCTGATTTTTAACTGCACTACTATTTTCCCTTCTATTTTCGTCAGCTTAATTAAGATAAAAATTAATTAGTATATCTACGCGTTTAGAAAAACGTTCTTCTTAGCTCAAAGAGGCGTTAGACCATAAGGGCTATTAATCTGGAAACGGCATTTTGAGTCGAACCGCTGTAAATGGCTGTACCACTTTTCAGATTGCTGTCACTAAATAGTATCGCCCTGTATTATATATGTGTGCAATTAATCTTCTATTATTTTTTGCTTTTACTTTCACTTTCGTCAACTATTTCTTCTCATTATCACTAGTATGAAAATTAGGGGATTGACTTTTTGTTTCAGCTGTTGTTTGGTGATTTTATTGCTCTTCAAAATTATTTAATTTCTGCGGAAATATTCACGTGATTCGAGAGATTTGGGTGTCCTCTTGAAGCCCGCCTTGAGAGGATCATTTTGATGTGACTTACTTTGGATTATGACAGCTACTTTGGATTTTATTTGCAATTTTCTGACTTGGATAAAGATGATGTTTTCCTCCATTGTACTACAGTAAAGGCAAGCTTGGATACTGTATATCAGCTCAAGTTTTTCCTAAAGTTGCTCAATTTGGATAGAGGTTCTTCATTTGGACTAATTTTGGATACTCCCTCACCTTCCCACCTGCTCTTTATTCAAGCCTTTGTAAAGATTTTTGGCTTAATTACAGTCTAGAGGGGAACTAGATAAGTTATTTACATTTTGCCATAGCATTTCCTTAATATCAATATTTTCAGTTATTTATTACTTTTCAATTAATATTAGATTTTAAATCTGAATTATAATTGTGTTTTGTAATATTCCTGTGTAGTTATGTTGTATATTTATTGTTTTTAGTTAATTTTAATTCAGTTTTGTATTTTACATTAGACGGTTAGATAGTCTTATACCATTGTTCCACCAAATTTGCCTTTAATATTGCATTCATAGTTCTTTGAATTTCAAATAATAGTTGCCAATTTATAAACTCTGTACTTTATAAGTAACTGTTATTTTTGCTTATTTGAAATAGTTATTGTTAGATTACATTAATTTATGTTGATGATCTGCCTTATCACATCTTATAACTATTACTTTTAAGAAATTTTCTTGCTATTAAATACCCAATTCAGTGATATTAGTTATTTTATGCATTAAAGCTTATTTATATTTCATTACGTATAAAGGTATCATAAACAATAGTTTTATAGTGTTACGATAATCCTTTTCTGTATAACTGGTTTTTGTAACTTTGTCAGCCTATAACCTCTGCGCATTTTAGATTTTTAAGAAATAATTGTGTCATTGTTATTTCTCACCACGTTGACACATATTTGCCAACTTTCATATCCCCAGCATACAAATTTAATTTCCATAGGATTTACATTGACTTTTGCTTGACTTACACCACATTTTCATCTACATAGCAAATAGTATTATTTTCAGCTTGTGTTTGATCTATTTGACTATTTTCACATAATATTGAATGGCTACTTCAGTAACTGACTCTGTGTCAGCCACACCTTCTGTATTATCTGAAGCGCCTTCTGCTACACTTCTTCCTGTGCCTACTGCTGCTCCAAACTCTACCAGATTACAAAATTATTTAGAACATAGTACTGCATCGCTTCAGCTGCTCTCAGCTTCCAACGCGAAGCATAAACTGACTAAGACAGCTCAAAAACAAATTTCTGATACAATCATTATTGGACACAACGCTCCACAGTAAAGTTGGAGCTAGAATTAGCAGAGCGAGATCAAATTATTGCTAATCTCAAGGGACAAAACGATTCTCTTAATAAGATCATTTCTTTATTGGAGCCTTCAACCTTCAAGGATTCTCCCCCTCTTGCTGAACAGCCTCCCTGTCCTGCAGAGCGTCAATCTACTGTTGTTCAGCGACGAAAGAAGAAGGATTCCCCACCTAAGAGACAGCAGAAGCTTTCTGACCACGTGCTTTTGGTCTCATCCAAGGATCGCAGTGTCTCTCCGAGGGCCTTACAAGAAAAATTGGCCACCACTTTAGTGCCCAAGAAAGTTGGTACTAAAATTCAGCAAATCCGGCCTACCCGTGCAAACGAGCTCCTAATTCGCTGTGCTACTGAGGAGCATCTTTGTTCCATTAAAGATTCTATCACCTCTCATTCGAAGCTTTCAGACTTGCTTCACTTACGCACAGCTAAGCCCATTTGTGGTAATATAATTTTGTTTGGAGGCGAAAGCAGAAGACATTAAAGAGGCTCTTGCTTCAATCATACCTCCTGTTAATAGTAGTGACATACAGCCCAGAACACCTCTCCATCGCTCAGATAATAAAAACAATTGGATTGTTCGCCTGGATAGGGCCTATTCTTCACGCTTAGGATCCAAAGGCAGGGTTTATATTGGCTTCTACTCGTGCCAGTTTCGGAGGTACGTTCGGCTACAGCGTTGCTTCAACTGCCAACGTATTGGACATCAGAGCAAACAGTGCACTTTTCCACCGGCCTGCGTTCAGTGTTCTGCTGTACACGAACACCCAATTTCAGACTGTCAAGACACTCCAGTTTGTGTTAATTGCACAATTACTTGTAACAGAGAAAATATTTCAATAGACTGTGCGCATCCTTCTAACTCAAAATTATGTCCCACATACAAGAAGGCGCTCCAGCTTTTGATACAGACCTCAACTTAAATTCCACTCAATTCCGTATCGATTCATTGTCATTTCTTCAATGCAATTTACAGCGTTCAATAGCTGCCACCAGCCTCTTCATTCAAACGCAATATGAACAGCAAGTCTCGGTAGGACTAATTCAAGAACCTCACATTAATAATTTTGGCACACTCACTGGTTCCACAGCGCGAAATAAGATTTTCTGCTCACACAACTCTTTGGCTGCAATAGTATAACGGACCTTTATCACCCACTCTCTGGCATACTACAGATCATACAGTCTCTATTCTACTAGACACTCTGGATGTCCAGCTCCTTGTTGTCAACGTTTACTTTCCACCCAGAAAGAATCTGGATGCTCTTCTACGTGAATTAAGTTTCCTATATTCCGGTGCAACTCCCAATATTTTACTTGGAGGTGACTTTAATGCCAGCAATAGATTACGGGGTGCACATTCCAATAATGCTCGTTCGACCATACTGTTGGATTTCATCTATAGCCTTAATCTAATAGTCCTAAACTCTCCACACTCTCTGCCGACTTTTGACACCGTCTCAGCGAAAGGATGGCCTGACATTACCTTGGCTAGCATTTCAATTTCTACTCTCATTAATGACTGGAGAGTAGATTCTATTGAGGCGGTCAGTGATCACAGAGCGGTCTCCTCTAGCCTGTCCACTCCTTTCTGTGCAATAGGAAGACTACGTTTTAAAACAATTTATGGCGGCCTAAATAGTTTCAAAACAGCTTTTTCCTTGCTTACCTCAACTAAAGCAATCTTTTGTCAACTGCAATTCTCACGAAGATCTTGATAAAGCGTATGATTCCCTTCTTCTTGCACTACAGAAAGCTTGTCTAACGGCATTCTCTTTACGCAAATTCAAGCTTCCACGTAAGGTTTCTTGGTGGACGAATGAGCTTTCGATTGAACGTCGCAAACTGCGACGATTAAGACGACAGGCACAGAGAATCTTGGATACTGATCAAAGAAGATCTGCCTTTATTACCTATAAGCGCAGTCAGGCAATCTATAAAAGACACATAAAAGAGGCAAAGAGGCCGGGGTGGAGTAATTTCTGCACACAGTCCCATGATACCTTTGGTTCTGCCTTCAAAATAGCAACCAATAAAGTTTTTCATCCCACTTCCTTTCCAGCTGGTCTGTCTCCGGGTGCCTCTTCTACTGCTGACATAGCCAAGTGCATACTTTCCTCCTTATTTCAAGACGATGATGCGACAGAGGACACTACACACCAGGCTTCATTACGTTATCTTTATAATAATTATACACCTGGTCAAGAGCACACTTGTCAACTTCCGACCCTACAGGAAATCACCAATATCATACGGCATCTCAATATCAAAAACGCGCCTGGGCCTGATGGCCTTGACAGTTCTATACTGCGAATGCTCCTCAAAATAGATCCCCAATTCTTACTCAACTTCATACATGCCTGCTGGAAGTTTCGTCATTTTCCGTTCAATTCTAAATTAGCAGAGGTGGTATTATTTTTGAAGAACGGCAAGGATGCATTTCAGCCAAGGTCTTATAGGCCTATATGTCTCATTCCATCTCTCAGCAAACTTTTAGAGCGCATAATTCTTGGCAGACTTAATTACTACCTCTCACAGCATAATATCCTGAATGATTTTCAGTACGGATTTCGAAAGGGTAGATCAGCTGAGATGTCCATAGAACGACTGCTCTTAACAATTCAAGATAATAGAGCGAGCCTCCACCACACTTTAGTTATTAGCATCGATATACAAGGCGCATTTGATTCTCTCTGGTGGCCAGACATCATTGATGCTCTGGTCACCATGGGCTGTCCTTCCATCTTAACTGATCTAATTTACAGCTACCTACAAGATCGCAGGGTTAGAATTACGCTCGATGGTAGCATAGTACATCATTCACTTTCCAAGGAATGTCCTCAAGGATCTTGCCTTGGTCCAATTCTATGGACCATTGTTGCTAATTCTCTGCTTAATGCTCTTCAGAACCTCAATAACTGCACCTCAATAGCTTATGCTGATGACTTTCTTCTAATTGTTAAAGGACGGTCGCGTATTGGACATTCTGCACAGGTGACAGGTGAGAGCAGGTCCGGACACCCGGACGGCTTACATAGACTAGTCGGGTATCGTCCGGAACCCGCAACTATCTGAAGCTACACTCCGAAAACAATACAAGGGCAAAAGTACATGGCCATAGAAGGGCAAAATATAGATTTTTCTGCATGCGAAATTAAACATTTTCCTCGCTACATCGCATGTTAACACATTGCTACACATACTCGCTACAATATACATTTCATAATATGCATTGCGTTGATCATTGCACTGTACTTAAGGCACATTTACAACTCAATGCTACACCTAATACACTATACTTTGCAACATATTACGCTGAACATTATTCTTGACAATTCAACATAGATTCTGAACAATATAATTGTTTAAATAAGACATAACTGGATTATATAGTACATAACTTCGTTATATAAGACAGACTTAAATAAATAACTTGATACAACAGATAAATAAATAAAAAGCTCTTAAATAAAGAGCAAAATTGCACATTACAAACAGATTACACATTTTGCACACAGAAATCCTCTTTGTTTACTTTGTGCTGTACTTATAATATACAAAATACAGATTTAAGGACATAGTACAGTTCATATTACTTTTGATTAAATAACATGTTAAAAGTTTACTGTAGCATAAATTTTGTTGTATTCTTAAAACATACCAAAAATAACTTTGTAATTAAACGTTCTACTGGTTACATTGCACCTTAACATACTGCTGTATATAAAACACCCAATACACTAAAATTTTTATAATACATATTACATTGAACACTGCACTATATTTAGGACATCTTACAAAACTCATTTCTACACTTAATGCACTGTGTGCATTGGTTACATATTACATTGAACATTACTCTTGATTAAATAATATAGGCAGTGGTAGTAACTCTTTGTTATATACAACATAATTCTTAATACAAAAAGCTTATAAAAACACTGTTAGAAATACACATTGAGGGGAAAAATTACAGATTAAATTAATTGCAGTTAAAAAATTACATGTGCTAGATACATTAAATACCGTATTTACCATATACCGCATTACCGTATACACCATTATTCTATTTATAAAATGCGTATGCTTACAATATTGCACCCATGCATTAATATGCTCATTACAAATATAGTAAATTAAACTATTTACATTTGGATAATATTAAATCATATTTACATTTATTTTTCGTGTTCCCAGCCTAATGTTACTCTGCGTACTGACTCAAGATGGGCTTCTTGCAGAGGCCACTGGAAACCAGTGTGCTTTGAATCTCTGCGAAATTTAAGTCTGTTATTATGGGCTGCATAATTCTAGTCCTAGTGCTTCAAGTTTGTTCATAATGCTTTTGAGCTTCTTGAGATAGGTTGGCTGCTTAATGAAGAAGCGTTTATAAACAATGTCAGCATCAGGAAGCCTCATGTGCCATTCTTCCGTGAGAGGGCAAGACGTAACGTAATGATCAGGTGTACCTACTTCATTACAGACACAATGATCAGTTGTTGATATTCCCCTTTGATATAAATATTGGGGAAATGGTCCCCTTTGATAGAAAAGGGGGACATTCTGCACAGGCCGCTCTGGATGTCGTTGACTGGACCCGCCAACATAAAATCACAATATCCACAGCTAAATCACAAGCATTCCTGATTGCAGCACGTGGTATCTTGCGCCGAAATCCACCATTACGTATTCAAGGTGCTTCTATTCGCTACGTTCAAGGTCTGAAATATCTAGGTGTCACAATCAATAACAGACTCTCTTGGTTACCACACATCCGACAGATCAACTTAATGGTCAAGATTATACATCAGCACATGTTAAGGACAACTGCCAAAAGTTGGGGTATCAGATCAGCATGCTCAAACAATGGTACCATGCAGTGATTGAAAAGATCATATTATACTGCTCAGGAATCTGGGCCTGTCACCTCACTAAGCATGAGCGTAGAATGTTGATATCCATGCAACGTCTCTTCCTATTGAAAATTACATGATCCTATCGTACTACTTCAAATCAGGCCTTAATGGTTCTAGCTGGTGTTCCGCCTCTTGATCTCACTGCAGAGAAAGAGGCCTTTCTTTCAAGAATACTACGGCCTTCAACGTGATGCCGAGTTATGGTCCTGCCACTTTTCTACAATGGACTTTGAACATCGGCCCTCCAAACCACTCTGCCATCCTGCCGAATTTGATCTGCCTGATTCTATCTTCACATCCTCTCAACAGCATCTGCCTAACTTCAACATTGAGATTTATACTGATGGATCTCGTTCTCCGACAGGTACAGGTTACGGCCTCTGTCTGTATGTGAATGGCACACTAACACGTACTTAGAGAAGAAGACTGAACACTAAAAACTCTGTCTATCAAGCAGAACTTGTTGCCATTAAAAAAGCAATAGACCTAGCTTCTAAATTTACTGCTCGCACCATCATTTATACGGACTCTAAATCCAGTCTTGAAGCCTTACGAAACATGCATCCTACTAGCTCGCTGGTCCATATTATTCAGCAACTTCTTCTTCAACTGCCCTCTAATCACCGTCCCATTCTCCAATGGGTCCCCGGACACAGCTGGGTTTTGGGCAATGAACATGCGGACTCTATAGCTAAAGAGGCTTCTCAAGGAGTTCATTTAGTGGAATATCCAATAGCCTATCCAGCCTCTTATTTGAAGTCAATTGCCATAGCTAAACTTATGGAACGTTGGCAGCAGAGCTGGTCCTCTGCTAGCACTGGACGACGTACCTATCTTTTCTTTCCAAAAGTCTCAGCAAAGATGATTCTTTCAAACTTCTCCCAAGCTGCCTTTTTCACAGGACATGGACCATTTCCAACGTACTTACATAGATTTCACATTCGAACGACAGACATCTGCAACTGTGGCAGTCTCGGATCTCTGGATCATTTCGCCTTTGACTGTGTGCACACCAATCAATTTCATTTCAAAAGACCTCTTACGCAGTACTGGCAGCAGTGGGTTCAATATCTCTTAAATAATCCATTGTCCATCAATAAACTTCAGCACATCACTGACATCTGTAATAGCCTGTACACATTTACATTTACAAGCTCTCTCCTTCATGTTCTTCACATTACATATGTTAACACTATAAAAATTGTCACGTTTATGCTCACGAATTCACGATTCTATTTTTTTTTTATATAAAAACAAAACATTTAATGAAGAGCTTATGTACATTATTTACATTATTGAAAGCACAATCATACATATATTATAAATTTTCCCATCATAGGGCCAATATTCGTTTATCAAGAACAATTACCGCTATGCGGCCAAGAACAGATCATTTCAAGGCGTCGCCCTCAAGCTTAACTAAAAAGAGTATTACATTCCTTCTCTGCCGCCAGTCACGTGACCTAGTCGGCGACAGACGATAAAAAATAAAAGAAAAAATGAATCCATCGGGGGGAAAAAGAAATAATTTCAACAAACTCCCCCCGATGAACAATAGGTTCATCATAAATTTAACTAACTATTACAATATTACTATAACAATAAGAAACAAATAAAAATTACTTACATATACAGGTCACATTATATCAATAATTTCTTAACACCAAGAAAAAAAAGTTTTTCTGAAACTATAGAAAAAACAAAACATTTAAATTAACATTTCTCAAGATCACCACAAATCATTAAACCAAGGAAAATAATAATGAATAAATGAAAACATTATGAAAAAGAACATTTTTTTTATCATCAGTTTATCAGTCATTCAGTCCAATTTTTTTTTACCAGTCACTGATTATTGCAATTACTGATATCATCAATTTCTAAATTGTACAATAGCTGCACTGGACGTTTGATTACCGAATTACCAGTTTTTCACTTCACACGATCTGATCATTCCATCTCTACCAATAAAGGTTTTGGTTATTCTTCCTAATTTCCACCAGCTTCTAGGTAAATTTTCATCATGAACAAGTACTATATCATTTACGTTGAATGCAGATGGTTTCTTCTGACCGGTATAATGAGCAGATCTCAAGCACAGGAGATATTCTTTTTTCCATCTGTTCCAAAAGTGATTTATTAGATTTTCTCGTGTACGGAAACGTTTTAACATAAATTCTCTGGAACCTGGTAAATTCAAGTCATTCCTCCTTACAGCTGGCAAACTCAAGAGTCGTTTACCAATCAACAGGTGGGCTGGAGTAAGTGCGGAGGGCTCTTCAAGATCAGAAAAGACGTATGTCAATTAATGGACGCGAGTTTTATCATCGCTTCTATTTCAAGCAAAAGCGTTTCTAATTCACTTTGAGTCAAAGATGATTTCCCAATGTTCTTTCTTAAACTAGTTTTTACACTGCGAACTAAACGTTCATAAAAAACCGCCCCCCACCAGGCAGCACGTTCCCACAATGTATTTCCATGTGATTCCATGCGAAGCATATAAATTTTTTAACTTCAGGGTGGTTAATCACTTTCCACATTTGCTTTAATTCAAGTTCGGCTCTTTTAAATGTTCTAGCATTGTCCGAGTACACAGTGGAACACAAACCTCTTCGGGATACGAACCTGTGGAACGCAAGTAAAAATTCTTCAGTGCTCATGCCTTTTACGAGCTCAAGGTGAATAGCTCTTGTAGTAGCGCAAGTAAACAATAAAATGTAGTATTTGTTGTCATTTTCTTTTACATACAAAAATGCAAAATCGAGTCCACAAATTGCGAAAGGTTGAGATTCATTAACTCTATCCGCTGGAAGAGGTGCAGTGATTTGTTGTCCAGGACGTACATTATATTTTTTGCATATTAAGCATTTCAGCAGCAAAACTCAGCCAAAATCTCTGATTGATTTGACGTATTGTTTTCCTTCTTAAGAGCCAGAATTTTTCACGTATATGCACTAGAGTATCCGATACACCCGCATGATAAACCTTTTCATGAGCGTCTCGTACTACTAATTCACTTAATTTATGTTTTGAAGGGATTACTATTGGATGTTTGTTGTTAAATAGTAGGTTTGACTTTTGTAACCGACCTCGTACCAAAAGTAGACCTTCATCTGATAATATGGGATTTAATTCGAACAATTTTGAATCTTTTGGAATATGCTTGTTTTCTCTTAGAGACTTTATAACTTCAGGGAAAACTATCTTCTTGAGCTTGTTTTAACCAAAAGGTTTCAGATTTACTGATTTCTTCTGCTGAAATTTCCGCAAAATTTCTATTTTCCCTTTTTACTTTTAAATTTGATATAAATCTGAAAATCCAAACAGTCACACGATAAAGTTTTTTCAAGGAACTAAATTTTGTCAAATTCATGAGTAGAACATTTTCAGCTTTGTCTGTTTTGATCAAACACGCTAGGATAGCTTCCGATTTTCGAGATTCTTCTGATACATCATGTAATTTTGACGTTTTCGATAGTTTGGGTTTTGGCCATTGACTTTCAGGTAACGAAAGAAATGCAGGGCCATGCCACCATTTCGAAGAATTCTATCAGTTCTTTTGCAGAACAACCCTTTGTTATTAGATCTGCAGGGTTGAGTTTTCCTTCGCAATGTCTCCATGAACAAGGATCTGAAATTTCATGTATTTCTGAAATTCTATTAGCAATGAAAGGTTTCTATCTTTTAGCTGTACCTTTAATCCAATGTAGAACTATTTCCGAATCTGACCATAAAATGACATTTGAAATATGTAGAATATTTTTCAGGTAGTTGGCAACCCTAGCACCCACCAGTGCTCCCATCAATTCAAGGCGGGGAAGCGTTAATTTCTTTAACGGTGCAACACGTGATTTTGCCAAAACAAATGTAGTTTCAAATTTATCTTCATCAGTTCTGTATCTCAAGTATGCGACTGAGCCATACGCATTCGGATTAGCGTCACTAAAAATGTGTAACTGAACAGTGTCCCTGTCTAAATTTGGTACATGAAAATAATATCTGGGAATTTTCAACATTTTAAGTTCTTTTATTTCAGAGAGCCATATTTTCCAGTCATTTTCGAGTTCTCCAGAAAAGATCTCATCCCAAGGTACCCCTTGAAGCCATAGCTGTTGCAATAAACATTTAATTCGAATTACAAAGAGTGCGATAAATCCAGATGGGTCAAAAATTTTGGCTGCTATTTTTAATACATTACGTTTGGTACATTCAGTGTTTATAGAGGACAGTAAGGGTGTTAATTCTAGTCCTAAGACATCTTCATCATTGTTCCATATTATTAAACCTAGTACTTTTAAGGATGTACATGGAGTGTCACTATTGAGAGAGATTAACTTTTCCTCAAGCCATTTCTGCTTAAGCTCTAGGGAATTGGTTTCGAATTTTCTTAGA